TGTTCCTTGGCCACCTGCACTAACACACAGTGGAGACATACTGTCAGGCAGCCAACTCCATCTGGCTCTGTTCTATTCTCATATTTAATCAGTTTATTAATGTATTTCTACCTCTGTTGTCAGACCTAATGAGTTCTCAATAAAACTTTCCTGAGGTTTTAAAATTCATCAGGGTGTGGATACCATGGTTCTGTTTATTCTAGGTAGCAACAGAGATGCTAAAAAGGATGTAATATTTTGTAAAGGAAACTTAGAACCCTTGAGGGTCAGTATTTGTCCTATTAAAAGCTATATCTGATAAAGTTGTTGCACTTTTGGCAAACCAATTGTCATTTGGTTTGACAAAGCTACCTAATTATATATCTAGAACCCAGGGTTGCCAAACTGAGCACACTGTATTTTTATAACATTATTTTCATTGTGTATTTCAATCGTCAATGTACAAATTTGTTAAGCATTCTTTGTCCTATTTATGATTATACTGACATCAACACACCATGAGCTCATTGAAATGATTTCCCACTGAATAATATTTTATTTATGTATTTTGGAGGTTTTTGGCCAGTTTTCAATTTTCATCTGGCACAAAGAAATAATATCTCTTGTCTAAAATCCTAAATAAAAATCATACAAAAAAAATATATATCTGGTGGATTCCTCTTTTTACATTTATTTATTTTTAACGAAGCATATATATTTTTTGAGACAGAAAACAAACCAACCTTTTTTGGTAAGGGAATTTCCTAGGGGGTGGTAATTTTTTTTTGATTTATCCCTTTCTACTTTCCTAGAAAATTTAGAGACTAAGTTAGACTTCATAAATCAAACTTAACTATATACAATCTCAATTAAACTCAAGAGGAATTTGAACACAAAACATGCTGTTGCCTGTCCATATGTCTTGTACTTTCTGTGTAAAAGCATAATCTGTCTTTAATGTGGCTGTTGGAAATATGCCTTAAAAGGGGGACTGGTTTCACTCTAATGATATATCTGGTGCAAGGAATGCCAAGGGACGTTAATGTATTACGACTCTTAAAGTGAAAGCAATAACTTTTTTCTTTTTTTTTACAGTCGCACAGCTGATAACGTTTCCACCAGATCTGGTTACACATGACTTTTCCCATGGTATATAGGAGACATATCCTTTAAAAAAAAAAAAAAAGTGATACATTTGTCTTTCTCTTATGTTATTTTTCAACAATGCAAAAACAAGATGGTATTATTTTTAAGCTGTCATTACATTAATTAACCCTACTTACTGTTATTGCTTAGAGAAATAGCATGAATCACAAGCACATCTAGTAAACGTCCCTTAACCCCTTAATGACACATGATGGACATATTCTATCATGATTCCCTTTAATTCCAAAAGTTGTGTCCTTAAAGGGTTAAACAAATGCAAATATTGCAGTTTATTTACTGTAAATCTATACCATTGACTTCTTCACTACCAAATTATTTTAATTACATAAATGTAGGATAAAACTACAATTATGTGCATTAACACAGTTTTAAAATATATATTTTTTTTATTCCTCCATCTTTTGGAGTAATTTTAGGGATAAAATATTTTAGGCATTACAGTGGTACTTCGGTTACGAATTTAATGCGTTCTCCGGGTCGTTTCTTATTGCGTGAAATTTGTAAACCGAAACGCGGTTTCCCATAGGAATGCATTGAAAACCAATTAATCCGTTCTGGAGTCAGAAAAAAGCCGTAAACCGAGGTACCACTGTATATGGTATTCCTTATTTTATAATATTTTAGGAAGGGTCTAGATGAAACACAATGGTGGATTATGCTGGTATAATGATTTAATATCATGTCTGAGTTTACATGAGAATGTTAAAAAATGTTTGTATGAGAACTTTGTACAGAGCTGTGGAATTTGTTGGCACTTTATAAATAATAATAATAATATTAATAATAAAAAATAACACAAGTGCAACCTGTAAAAAAGGCCTTTATGGACATGTGAATGAATGTATTGTGTGTGTGTGTGTGTGTCTGTGTGTAATTTTAGTATTTCAATTAGATCTGGATCTTTTAAAAACATTTTACTTAAGTCTCCGTAAAAACGAGGATCTAGGTAGACTTTTGCATTCGGTTTTGAATGAACTAGGATTCGTCTGAACTTTGCCAGCTGATGGGTCCAAATTCTGTCATTCTAAAGTGCCATATGGATGCATCCAGAACAAGCCAACTGAACAATGGACAAGCATATTTCTTTATTTCATGACAAAACTAACAAAATAAGGATTGAACACGCTGCTTCCTTTGTCTCATGATTTGGATTTCTCTTCATTGGTTCCCCCCCAAAAAAGATGATAGATGATTGATGGTTAGGGGACATTTACTAAATATTGATTTTATTCACATATTAAATGAAAAAATACAAATAGAAGAAAAAAATATATATACATTTTTACTGGTCTTCTGTTCCCCTTTATAGGTTATTTCTTCTCACTTGGCGATGTGCATATCAGCATACTGAAATAAAATAAACATAATATTTATGTTTTGTAGTAACTGATTTCCCCCCATTTTTAATCCCTTTTTGTTAATCCGAATATTTTTTTCGGAATCATTTGCATGGTTGAAAATTGCCTGAGCCAAATTGCACTATGGACAATTTTTGCACTGCCAGAACAATTATTATTCTTTTTTTTTTTGGATGAGGTGATTCGCCAGAACAAGTTTTTTCTTTTTGAACGAATTGATTCGACCAAACCAAATGTTCGCACCGTGCATAAGTCTACCATTTATTAACATGCAATTCCTAAAGATGTCAGTTGAATCTAATATGTCTCTATAGACTTGACATCAGATTAAACTACGGTAGTTTAAATATTCTGACTAGTTTAGTTCACTTTAAAAGGCCAAATTGTTTGTTTATCGATTTTTGTCTCAGAAATGAATTTGAGCACATTTGATAAAGATTTGAATTTTATGATGGGATATATTGTCATTTGACCTTAAGGAGTTAATTAACATCCCTTGTATTTGCTATTTAACATTTGTACTATCGGACCATGAATGTAAATGTTTAATAGAAGCAGTTAACCTGGGTGGGATTTTCGGGAAAGAATCACAACAGAAATAGAAAATAGTTTTTGAATATCAGCCTACTTTCCCACATTTTCATTAAAAAAACAACTGTAATTGCAGCCAAGAGCATAATATGAAAAACAAATAATCTGGGCCTATTTAATAAACTGCAAATTTTAGTGAAGTAAAAACATACTTTTAAAATCTAGACCAAACAGAAAAGCTGAAAAAGCAAATAAATCCCAACTATAATGAATACTATGAATTAACATTCACTGGTATTCAAAACATTAATAATGCCATAAGGTAACTCGTTGCCATCTACATATCCTAAACTGTCCACACTACTGGCATATTTATATGTGAAGCAACCCAGGCTCTATGTGCAGTGATTATCTCTATTACAGCTATACATGGATGAATACACCTGATGACCAAGCAGCAGTCACAGAGCGCTAATCCTCTTAATACCATATTCACTGGTGATGGCCCATGCAGGGATAAACCTCCTGTTCCGAGTTTAACTCAGCATATGTTTAGTCTTCATTCAGTCATACAAATGAAGCTGAGCATTAGAGACATAGGGGAAACAAGAAGGAGGGATAGGTAAGAAAGGGGGATAGCAGAGGAGTCCATTGCAAGGCAGAGGGCCCAAGTCCTAGGTGAAGGCAACATAGAGAACCTAAAGGGAAGAGTAGTCACTTCGCCCGCTCCCACAGCAGCTGCAAACTGCTAAGAGGGCCATTTGGTGTAGAATTGGCAATCACAATGTCTGCCAAAATGTCTCCGGTCCAGCGCTGCTCCAACCAGGGTCGACGCCATGCTCCTGGACATCTCCAAGTCGGAGGCCATGCAGCGTTCTGATGCTCCACTTGCACAACATGCTCTGCACTCCGTCACTCTCTCGAGGTTGCCGGATCATTGTGGCAACCTCGTGCCACCTACAGGAGTCCTTAAAGCTATAAAGCCCCGTAGATTTAGGCCTTTTTATAATGAGAAAGTCATAATTGTGGGTCATTATCAACACTTCACAAGTCATGCCCCTTTTTGAGAATTGGTGCAGGATGATGATGATGTCAAATAGTTATTTTGGTTATCCCTATAAATACTCCCCTTTTACTAAGGAAATAGGGAAGTATATATTTTGTCGTGATTTATTATAGTCCAAGTGTGTGTTCTGAGTGTTTTCTGTTTTTCTGTATCCTTGAGCCCGGCTTGTTTAATCGTGTTTTGAGTACCTCTCGCATCCTTTACCTTGGCTTTTCTATCGACTGTGTATTTTTGTCTATCTAAGTCACACGTTAAGCCCAGCCACTCTAAGGTCTAGTATACGTATCTCACTCTATATATCTCCTTCATTTTAGCTACTGTTTTCATATTCTCTGTGTGTAGTGGTCACTCTATCCTGATGGGTATTCAGTGGCTGCAAGAATGAGTTCCTTACAAGAATGGATCTCCTCCACTCTACGGATCCAGTCCCTCATAGATGGATGTTTTTTGATGCTTCCAATAAGTGGATATTAAAGTATGGGCAGCGTTAATCAAGTGGGGGAGAACTGATCTCCCATTTGATTTTACTAGGAAGGGGTTTAGATGCAACAGTTATGTCTCCTTTTCATAAGGAAGTTGACTAATTGGGAGATGATTGCATGTACAGCCTGCCAAAAGGGACAGATCTCAGCAACGTTCTTTGAAATGTGGATGAGGGTACCAAGTTCTCCTCCGTAGCGTCGGCACTTTGGATCCACTGTAAGGTACATATGGGAACATTTCTCAGGTGTGTGATACTAGTGAGTAAAGAATTTGTAGCTTGATTCATGACAGTGAGATCTAATAGAGGACTTGTGGATCATTAGAGAGACTCAGAGGTCATTAGAGAGACACAGAGGTCCAACTTCCGTGATACAGGGGAGCAATGAGACCCCTGAAGAGATCAGAAGTATTTGATGAAGCTGTAATATACAGTGCCGAGGACTGAGGAGAACAAATTTGGGGTTAAACCATATATGTTTTTTCTCACCACACACCCCTACTTAATCTCTGTAGGGGTTTGGTGCAAAGATGAAGTTCTTCAAAGTGACAAAGCTGTGTGTGGTGAGAAAAAACATATATGGTTTAACCCCAAATTTGTTCTCCTCAGTCCTCGGCACTGTATATTACAGCTTCATCAAATACTTCTGATCTCTTCAGGGGTCTCACTGCTCCCCTGTATCACGGAAGTTGGACCTCTGTGTCTCTCTTATGACCTCTGAGTCTCTCTAATGATCCACAAGTCCTCTATTAGTTCTCGCTGTCATGAATCAAGCTACAAATTCTTTACTCACTAGTATCACAAATTTGTTCTCCGCAGTCCCTGGCTTCAATAAAAAATCTTAGGTCTTTGTGCCAGTGGGTTAGAGCATCAAAAAATTCTTTTAGCCTAGTACCTAGCTTCCGATTGATAAAACTGCATGAGAATGGAGGGCTTCCAGGAACTTAAGATATCATAACAACATCACTAAGATGATGGAGTTCTGGTGCCAGGAGTATTCTTTTAAAGGAACACTCACAGCACCATAATCACCATAACTTATTGTAGTGGTTATGGTGCAAAGTGTGTTTGGGTTCAACTCCATTGCATTTTGTCATGCCGATTTCAAGCATTTTTCTCAAGCCAGGGCTTCCGAGTCACCAACACCTGAAACCCCTGCTGTTTCTAAGATAATGCAGAGGTTTGAGTTCAACATTATCTGTAAAAATCCATTCACATTTAGACAGTTATGATAAACTGCGAGCATTAGAGTAACTTGACTATCATTGCTGTCCACATTTGGGTGAATTTGTGAATTTGAAAACATAACAATATGAAAAAAAAAAAGAATGGTTTGCTTCAAAAAAATTACTTGTGATGCTTTGAGTGCCCCTTTAATAAGATAGTATTAAGTTGTGTTTAGTGTTCATTTTCTTATTAGAGTAGAAAAGGAGGTCACTCAAAACACCAAACTAAAACCTCATGTTCCAAAATATCTTATAGAAATCAACAGCAGTACACCTGTAATCACCTCATTTAAGTGTGCTGTGACCAAGTAAAGATGATTAAAAGTATTTGGAACATGATCTAGCCACCCTAGATCTAGCCACCCATCTGAAATCTTAGTTAAGTGTTAAGTAGCTAAATTCAAGAAATTTAAGTGGTAAAAGTAGAAGAGCAGTGTATAGGTAAGTATATAAGCATGTAATAAGTACTTTGAGTGTTGGAAAGATGAATATATATATAATACCTTGAGTAGCGACAAAAGGGTTTAGAAAGAGAAGGTCACATTTCATGTATATGTTCCATGTTGTAGTTATGATATTTGAGTTGCCCTATTAGTCCAGCTTAGTGATGTACCGAACGGTTCGCTGGCGAACGGTTCCTGGCAAACATAGCATGTTCGCGTTCGCCACGGCGGGCGAACATATGCGCGGTTCGACCCGCCCCCTATTCGTCATCATTGAGTAAACTTTGACCCTGTACCTCACAGTCAGCAGACACATTCCAGCCAATTAGCAGTACACCCTCCCTAGCAGACCCTCCCACCTCCTGGAAGGCATCCATTTAGATTCATTCTCAAGCTGCATGCTTAGTAAGAGGAGGGAAAGTGTAGCTGCTGTTCATAAGATAGGGAAAAGCATAGCTAGGTTAGGGATAAGGGTATGCTTTTTTTTATTTTTATTTTTCTATGTAATGTAATTGCACTTAGTTGTCTGCCACTGCTGCCAGCTTCTGTGTCAGGCTCACAGTGCATACTGTGCCCATTTCCCAGTCAGTGCCACCAATTACATCTGGTGTCACAATAGCTTGGATTTAAAAACAAAAAACTTTTTTCACTGTTATAGATTGAATAGCAGTCAGTTGTCTGCCACTGCTGCCAGCTTCTGTGTCAGGCTCACAGTGGATACTGTGCCAATTTCCCCAGTCAGTGCCACCACTTATATCTGGTGTCACAATAGCTTTGATTTAAAACAAAAAATTTTTTTCACTGTTACAGATTGAATAGCAGTCAGTTGTCTGCCACTGCTGCCAGCTTCTGTGTCAGGCTCACAGTGGATACTGTGCCCATTTCCACAGTCAGTGCCACCACTTATATCTGGTGTCACAATAGCTTGGATTTAAAAACAAAAAACTTTTTTCACTGTTATAGATTGAATAGCAGTCAGT